TTAGTTCTGGTTTAGTCCTGGTTTAGTCCCTGGTTTAGTTCTGGTTTAGTCCTGGTTCGGTCTCATAATAAATCTGGCCTAGATTCAAACGGTGGAATAAACCTTATATTTACCGTGTCTCCGGGTTAGATCGGGTCAAACCTCGGCTCCGGGTCTGGTCCTGGTTGAGTCCTGGTTGAGTCCTGGTTGAGTCCTGGTTTAGACCTGGTTTAGTCCTGGTTTAGTCCCGGTCTTGGTTTTTGTTCGGTTTTATTCTGCGGCAGGTTCACGCTCACTGCGCCTGCGTCAAACTCACGGTCTGCAGTAGAGACACATCCGGTTTATTATCTCAGAATAAAATAAAACACGCTATTATTTTATTTTAACGTGTCTTGTACCTATTTTCTCAGTCATTTTTACATTAAAATCTTTTACTTATCTTTTTTTAGAAAATATAATTAATATATTTCAGTGTAAAACTCATTTATTTAGAGGAATTATTTGCTCTGTGCTGTTATTTTGTAAGTCCTGTTTTCCGTTTTCTGTTGTTTTAATATTTACAATTTACTCCGCGGCTTCAGACCAACGCCCTTCATTTAAAACCCGTTTTTTTCTATCTCATTATTATTATTATTATTATTATTATTATTATTATTATTATTATTATTATTATTATTATTATTATTATTATTAGTCTATTTTTAGTATTAAACACTGAATAATAATATTAGATAAATATAAATATTAATATTAAAAATCCTTCCTAAGGCGTCACTTACCAGTTGTACATCTTTATAAAGAGAGAACGTGTTTTATTTTTGTTATATAAGTTTAAAACACGGAGCTTAGATCAGACCAAAGCCCAAATATGAAAATATGATCTGAAATTAATTTTAAAACGTAGTAAAATTCTATCATATTGTGTCTAAATAAATCGTGAATGTGTTAAATCGTATAAAACAGTTGTTAAACACCTAAACGAGCCTCTAAATGAACCTAGAATAAAAATAGACTAAATACAATAAGCGTGAACCCGGATGAGCGCGGCGCGGCGGTGGCGCCCCCCGCGGCGGCTCCGTGTCACTGCAGCTCAGAGGAAACGGCGGAAAAGACAAAAAAGACACGCCTCAAACCGGGACCAAACCGAGACCAAACCAGGTCTAAACCAGGTCTCAGCCAGGTCTAATCCAACTCTGAACCGGGTCTCAAACAGGACCGAGGCGGGACGGACCGGGCTGAACCAGGACCGGACCAGGACACGCGGTTTTTGGTGAGTTTTACAGATTTTTTTTCCTTTGGAGCAAAGTGAAGTTAGAAGGAAACGAGAAAGGAGCGAGGAGACACAAGGAGGAAGCGAGGAAACGAACGGCTCTAGTGAAGGAATGTGCCCCGAACCGGACCAGAACCGGACCAGAACCGGACCAGGACCGGACCAAGACTGAACCAGGACTAAAAAGGACTAAACCGGGTCTAGACCGGGTCTAAACAGAGACTAAAACAGGATCTAAACCAATCCGGGACTAAACCGGGACTTAAACAGGGTCTGAACCGGGTCCGGTCTAAACCGGATATAAACCGGGTCTAAAACAGGACTAAACCAGGACTAAACCAGGACTAAACCGAGGGACTAAAACAACAGGGTCTTACCCAAGACTAAACCGGGTCTAGACCAGGTCTAAAAGAGGACTAAATCAGTATTAAACCAGGTTTAACCAGAGTCTAAACCAGGACTAAACCAGGTCTAAGAAAACAGAATAATTTCAGAATAGTTCTGTTTTATACTAAGATCAAACCAGAAGTTGATCAAGACTAAACCAGGTCTAGGGTCTAGAGAAAGTCTAGAGGAGGTCTAGAGGAGGTCTAGAGGCGGTCTTGGGTCTAGAGGAGGTCTAGAGGAGGTCTAGAGGCGGTCTTGGGTCTAGAGGAGG